CCCACCCAACCATCCACCCATCCATCATCCATCCTTCTACCCACCCACCCATCCATCCATCCATCCATCCATCATCCACCCATTCATCCATCTATTCACTCATCCATCCATCCATCCATCCATCCAACCACTATCCAACCAATTATCTACTCACCCATATTTCATCCAACACGCACTCATCCAACCATCCATCCATCCATCCATACACCCACCCATCCCTCACTCCCTCCATGGACATTAGTCTATCACCAACTCTTTGCTATTGGTGAATCGTGCTGCTGGTCTATACCTACGAGTGGTATTGCCCTCTGGGTGTAGGAGCGCCTGGATGGCTCAGTCAGTCCAACTTTGACCCAGGTCATGATCTCAGGGTTCATGGGTTTGAGCCCCGTGTTCACCTCTGTGCTGACAGCTCAGAGCCTGGAGCCAGTTTCCGATTCTGTGTCTCCGTCTCTTTCCTCTCCTTACCCACTCTTGCTCTATCTCTCAAAAATTAATAAAAAACATTTTACTCTTTCAGATTCTTGGTCTCCCTCTCTCTGCGCTTCTCACCTGCTCATGTACTCTCTCTCTCTCAAAAATAAATATTAAAAAATATTTTAAAAAAGAAATTCTAGAAGGAATAAGTTGGAGGAAAGGGTCTTGAGCTTGGAGTGTTAACAGTGGACAGAAATTTTTAAAAGGAAAGGTAAATGGTGTTGAGAGCACCTGTAAACTGAGGCTGCAGGTGTTACTGTTTTTTAATTTTCAGTTGGGTAATACCTTCCTTGGGCCCTCATCCCAATGTTGAGCGACCCCCAGCCTGAGAGGAGATAAATTTCTATCCAGCTCAGCACCAGAACGGGACTCTGGGACCACTTCTGGAAGCCCTTCCCTTAGCCTTGCTTCATTCAGCACTGCCTGGTCTTGCTTTTATGTTTTCACCACTTTGTGATTGCTAAGGAGTTTAACAATGTTCTCCATCAATGTTTCCTTTCACTTAAATTTTCAACAGAATTCTACAGGAAGCTCGTCTCCCAAGCGATTGAAACCCCACAGACAAAAAGGATAAATGACATACAATACACAGCATACAAGGTGGGCTTTTTAGGGGGTACATCATTTGGAACCGTGCAAACATACGAAAACGGAACTTATCCTCGACCTAATTAAAAATGCATCACAATAACGTTCAGTATCCACCAAGAAGACCCTATTTTGCAACCGTCATAGCAACAGAGAATGAAATGCATGATGCAGTTCATCTTTCCACCCCCCGTGCTTGAGAGTGCGAGTCGGTTTCCTGCAGAGTGAGACCCGTTCCGCATTTCAAAGGCAGCTGAGGAAACCCACAGGCAAGACAAAGCAGGCTCTGTCCAGGCAGCCTGCAGAGGACCCTGAGGGAGCCCGCTACTTACCTCCAGTGTTGTGGGGCATTCCCGACTGGAGTGGGTAGTGGGACCTCTGATTGGGTAAGAGACCTGCGGGGAAAACGGCAGTACACGTTTATCAGAGAAAAGTAGCCACTGTCAGCAGCAGCCTGTGACACAGGAGCATCAACACGGCAGTAGATGCTCCAGGTGCCTCACACCTGCGGCCCATGTGTCATAGAAGGTCACAGACCAGTGGAACCTCCCTGAGCCTCTCGATGTAAAAATCTCAAGACTAGAAACTAAAGAAAAATCCCACATAAACACATGCACACACTCACACATACACACACACACACACAAAACCACCCGTTCATCCACCTTTACCCATTCATCCATCCATCCACCCACCCATCCATACATCCATTCATCATCCCATCATCACGCATTCAACCATCCATCCACCCATTCATCCAAACATCCATCCATCCATCATCCATCCATCCACCCACCCACCCATCCATCCACCCATCCATCATCCATCCTTCTACACACCCACCCATCCATCCCTCCATTCAATTCCAACCTTTCATCCATCCATCCATCCACTCTCTAACCATGTATGCATCCATCCACCCATCCATTCACCCATCCTCCCACAGGCAAGACAAAGCAGGCTCTGTCCAGGCAGCGTGCAGAGGATCTGAGGGAGCACACCACTTACCTCCAGTGTTGTGGGGCATTCCCGGCTGGGGTGGGTAGGGGGGCCTCTGATTGGGTAAGAGACCTGCGGGGAAAACGACAGCACATGTTTAGCAGAGAAAAGTAGCCACTGTCAGCAGCAGCCTGTGACACAGGAGCATCAACACGGCAGTAGATGCCCCAGGTGCCTCACACCTGCGGCCCATGTGTCCTAGATTGTCACAGACCAGTGGAACCTTCCTGAGCCTCTCGATGTAAAAATTTCAAAACTAGAACCTAAAGAAAAACACCACATTGGCACATGTACACTCACACACACACACACACACATCCAACCAACCATCTATCCATCCTTTACCCATTCATCCATCCAGCCACCCATTCATCCAAACATCCATACATCCATCCATCATCCATCCATCTACCCACCCACCCATTCATCCATCCATCATCCACCCACCCACCTAACCATCCACCCATCCATCATCCATCCTTCTACACAACCACCCATCCATTCCTCCATTCAATTCCAACCATTCATCCATCCATCCACCCACTCTCTAACCATGTATGCATCCATCCACCCATCCATTCACCCATCCTCCCACAGGCAAGACAAAGCAGACTCTGTCCAGGCAGCGTGTAGAGGACCCTGAGGGAGCACACCACTTACCTCCAGTGTTGTGGGGCATTCCCGGCTGGGGTGGGTAGGGGGGCCTCTGGTTGGGTAAGAGACCTGAGGGGAAAACGACAGTGCAAGTTTAGCAGAGAAAAGTAGCCACTGTCAGCAGCAGCCTGTGACACAGGAGCATCAACATGGCAATAGATGCTCCAGGTCCCTCACACCTGCAGCCCATGTGTCATAGAAGGTCACAGACCAGTGGACCCTACCTGAGCCTCTCGATGTAAAAATTTCAAAACTAGAACCTAAAGAAAAACACCACATTGGTGCATGCACACTCACACAGACACACAACGCACACACAGACACAGACACACACACACCCAACCAACCATCCATCCATCCTTTACCCATTCATCCATCCATCTACCCACCAATCACCAATCCATCCATCCATCCATCATCCATCCAACCTCCCAACCATGCATCCGTCCATCTTCCCTCCTACTACGGACCCACCCATCCGTCCATCCATCCTCCCATCATCCACCATTTCATCCATCCAGCCACCCATTCATCCAACCGTCCATCCATCCATCCATCATCCAACCACCCACCCAATCATCTATCCATCCATTCAATTCCAACCATTCCTCCATCCATCCACCCACCCATCCCTCACTCCCTCCATGGACATTAGCCTATCACCAACTCTTTGCTATTGGTGAATCATGCTGCTGGTCTGTACGTACGAGTGGTATTGCCTTCTGGGTGGAGGAGCGCCTGGGTGGCTCAGTCAGTTAAGTGTCCAACTTTGACTCAGGTCATGATCTCAGGGTTCATGGGTTTGACCCCCGTGTCAGTCTCAGTGCTGAAGGCTAAGAGCCTGGAGCCTGTTTCCAATTCTGTGTCTCCATCTCTCTGTGCCCTTCACCAGCTCATGCTCCCTCTCTCCCTCTCAATAATAAATAAAAACATTTTTTTAAAACAATGTAAAGAAGTGAGGGGCGCCTGGGTGGCTTAGTCGGTTAAGCGTCCGACTTTCACTTAGGTCATGATCTCGCGGTTCGTGGGTTCGGGCCCCGCGTCGGGCTCTGTGCTGACTGCCAGCTCAGAGCCTGGAGCCGGTTTCAGTCTGTGACTCCCTCTCTCTCTGACCCTCCCCTACTCACGCTGTTTCTCTCTCTCTCCTAGAAATAAAAAACAACAACAACAACAAAACAACAACAACAACAAAAAACATTAAAACAATGTAAAGAAGTGAATTCCAAGAGGAATTAATTGTAGAAAAGGATCATAAACTTGGACATGTTAATACTGGACAGAAATTTTTAAAAGGATGGGTAAATGGTGTTGAGAGCACCTGTTAACTGATACAGAAGGTGTTACTGTTTTTTGGTTTTCAATTGGGTAATATCATCCTTGGGCCCTCGTCCCAATGTTGAGCGACCCCCGGCCTGGGATGAGATAAATTTCTATCTAGCTCAGGACCAGAACGGGACTCTGGGACCACTTCTGGAAGCCCTTCCCTTAGCCCTGCTTCATTCAGCACTGCTTGGTCTTGCTTTTAGGTTTTCAGCACTTTGTGATTGCTAAGGAGTCTACCAATGTTCTCCATCAATGTTTCCTTTCATTAAATTTTCGAATGAAATCTACAGAAACCTCGTCTCCCCAGCGATTGAAACCCCACAGACACGGAGAATAAATGACATACAATACACAGCAGACACACGTCGGCTTTTTGGGGGGTACATCATTTGGAACCGTGCAAACACACGAAAACGGAACTTATCCTCGACCTAATTAAAAATGCATTACAATAACGTTCAGTATCCACCAAGAAGACCCTATTTTGCAACAGTCAGAGCAACAGGTAATGAAATGTGTATTGCGAGTTCAACCTTCCACCCCTCGTGCTTGGAAGTGCGAGGCGGTTTCCTGCAGAGGGAGAGCCGTTCCCCATTTCAAAGGCACCTGAGGAAACCCACAGGCAAGACAAAGCAGACTCTGACCAGGCAGCGTGCAGAGGACCCTGAGGGAGCACACCACTTACCTCCAGTCTTGTGGGGCATACCCGGCTGGGGTGGGTAGGGGGGCCTCTGGTTGGGTAAGAGACCTGCGGGGAAAACGACAGTGCATGTTTAGCAGAGAAAAGTAGCCACTGTCAGCAGCAGCCTGTGACACAGGAGCATCAACACGGCAGTAGATGTCCAGGTGCCTCACACCTGCGTCCCATGTGTCCTAGATTGTCACAGACCAGTGGAACCTTCCTGAGCCTCTCAATGTAAAAATTTCAAAGAAGACTTGAAGAAAAACCCTACATAGGTGCATGCACACACACACAGACACACACACACACAACCCCAGCCACCCATTCATCCATCCTTTACCTCTTTCATTCATCCATCCACCCACCCATCCATCCACCCATCAACCCACACATCCATCCATCCATCCATCATCATCTATCCACCCACCCACCCATCCATCCATCATCCATCCACCCACAAAAACATCCACCCCTCTGTCATCCAACTTTCTACCCACCCACCCATCCATCTATCCATCCACTCAATTCCAAACATTCCTCCATCCATCCATCCATTCATCCATCCACTCTCCAACCATGTATGCATCCATCCACCCATCCATTCACCCTTCCTCCCACCCAACCATCTACCCACCCATCATCCATCCAACAATCCACTCGTCCAACCATCCAACCATCCATCCACTCTCCCATCCCTCACTCCCTCCATGGATATTAGCCTATCACCAACGTTTTGCTTTTGGTGAACCAATCTGCTGGTCTATACCTACGAGTGGTATTGCCTTCTGGGTGGAGTGGCGCCTGGGTGGTTCAGTCAGTTAAGTGTCCAACTTTGACTCAGGTCATGATCTCAGGGTTCATGGGTTGGAGCCCCGTGTTGGTCTCTGTGCTGACAGCTCAGAGCCTGGAGCCTGTTTCCAATTCTGTGTCTCCATCTCTCTGTGCCCCTCACAGCTCATGCTCCCTCTCTCCCTCTCAATAATAAATAAAAACATTTTTTAAAACAATGTAAAGAAGTGAATTCCAAGAGGAATTAGTTGTAGAAAAGGATCATAAACTTGGACATGTTAATACTGGACAGAAATTTTTAAAAGGATGGGTAAATGGTGTTGAGAGCACCTGTTAACTGATACAGAAGGTGTTACTGTTTTTTGGTTTTCAATTGGGTAATATCATCCTTGGGCCCTCGTCCCAATGTTGAGCGACCCCCGGCCTGGGATGAGATAAATTTCTATCTAGCTCAGCACCAGAACGGGACTCTGGGACCACTTCTAGAAGCCCTTCCCTTAGCCCTGCTTCATTCAGCACTGCTTGGTCTTGCTTTTAGGTTTTCAGCACTTTGTGATTGCTAAGGAGTCTACCAATGTTCTCCATCAATGTTTCCTTTCATTAAATTTTCGAATGAAATCTACAGAAACCTCGTCTCCCCAGCGATTGAAACCCCACAGACACGGAGGATAAATGACATACAATACACAGCAGACACACGTCGGCTTTTTGGGGGGTACATCATTTGGAACCGTGCAAACACACGAAAACGGAACTTATCCTCGACCTAATTAAAAATGCATTACAATAACGTTCAGTATCCACCAAGAAGACCCTATTTTGCAACAGTCAGAGCAACAGGTAATGAAATGTGTATTGCGAGTTCAACCTTCCACCCCTCGTGCTTGGAAGTGCGAGGCGGTTTCCTGCAGAGGGAGAGCCGTTCCCCATTTCAAAGGCACCTGAGGAAACCCACAGGCAAGACAAAGCAGACTCTGTCCAGGCAGCGTGCAGAGGACCCTGAGGGAGCACACCACTTACCTCCAGTCTTGTGGGGCATGCCCGGCTGGGGTGGGTAGGGGGGCCTCTGGTTGGGTAAGAGACCTGCGGGGAAAACGACAGTGCATGTTTAGCAGAGAAAAGTAGCCACTGTCAGCAGCAGCCTGTGACACAGGAGCATCAACACGGCAGTAGATGTCCAGGTGCCTCACACCTGCGTCCCATGTGTCCTAGATTGTCACAGACCAGTGGAACCTTCCTGAGCCTCTCAATGTAAAAATTTCAAAGAAGACTTGAAGAAAAACCCTACATAGGTGCATGCACACACACACAGACACACACACACACAACCCCAGCCACCCATTCATCCATCCTTTACCTCTTTCATTCATCCATCCACCCACCCATCCATCCACCCATCAACCCACACATCCATCCATCCATCCATCATCATCTATCCACCCACCCACCCATCCATCCATCATCCATCCACCCACAAAAACATCCACCCCTCTGTCATCCAACTTTCTACCCACCCACCCATCCATCTATCCATCCACTCAATTCCAAACATTCCTCCATCCATCCATCCATTCATCCATCCACTCTCCAACCATGTATGCATCCATCCACCCATCCATTCACCCTTCCTCCCACCCAACCATCTACCCACCCATCATCCATCCAACAATCCACTCGTCCAACCATCCAACCATCCATCCACTCTCCCATCCCTCACTCCCTCCATGGATATTAGCCTATCACCAACGTTTTGCTTTTGGTGAACCAATCTGCTGGTCTATACCTACGAGTGGTATTGCCTTCTGGGTGGAGTGGCGCCTGGGTGGTTCAGTCAGTTAAGTGTCCAACTTTGACTCAGGTCATGATCTCAGGGTTCATGGGTTGGAGCCCCGTGTTGGTCTCTGTGCTGACAGCTCAGAGCCTGGAGCCTGTTTCCAATTCTGTGTCTCCATCTCTTTGTGCCCCTCCCCAGCTCATGCTCCCTCTCTCCCTCTCAATAATAAATAAAAACATTTTTTAAAACAATGTAAAGAAGTGAATTCCAAGAGGAATTAGTTGTAGAAAAGGATCATAAACTTGGACATGTTAATACTGGACAGAAATTTTTAAAAGGAAGGGTAAATGATGTTGTGAGCACCTGTTAACTGAGGCTGCAGGTGTTACTGTTTTTTGGTTTTAAATTGGGTAATAGCTTCCTTGGGCCCTCTTTCCAATGTTGAGTGACACTCGGACTCAGATGAGATAAATTTCTATCCAGCTCAGCATCAGAACGGGACTCTGGGACCACTTCTGGAAGCCCTTCCCTTAGCCCTGCTTCATTCAACACTGTCAGGTCTTGCTTTTAGGTTTTCAGCACTTTGTGATTGCTAAGGAGTTTACCAACGTTGTTATCAATGTTGTCTTTCACTTATTTTACAAACAAATTCACGCGAAACTCATCTCCCAAGCGATTGAAACCCCACACACACGGAGGATAAATGACATACAATACACAGTACACACAGGTCGGCTTTTTTGGGGACACTCATTTGGAACCATGCAAACACACGAAAACGGAACTTATCCTCGACTAATTGAAAATGCATCACAATAACGTTCAGTATCCAACAAGAAGACCCTATTTTGCAACCGTCATAGGAACAGAGAATGAAATGCGTGATGCTATCATCTTTCTACCCCCCATGCTTGGGAGTGCGATGCGGTTTCCTGCAGAGGGAGAGCCGTTCCCCATTTCAAAGGCACCTGAGGAAACCCACAGGCAAGACAAAGCAGGCTCTGTCCAGGCAGTGTGCAGAGGACCTGAGGGAGCACACCACTTACCTCCAGTGTTGTAGGTCATTCCCGGCTGGGGTGGGTAGGGGGGCCTCTGGTTGGGTAAGATACCTGTGGGGAAAACGACAGCGCACGTTTAGCAGAGAAAAGTAGCCACTGTCAGCAGCAGCCTGTGACACAGGAGCATCAACACGGCACTAGATGCTCCAGGTGCCTCACACCTGCGGCCCATGTGTCCTAGATGGTCACAGACCAGTGGAACCTCCCTGAGCCTCTCGATGTAAAAATCTCAAACATAGAACTTAAAGAAAAATCTCATCTAGTGCATGCACATACACGCACTCACACACACACACACACACACACACAAACACATCCATCCATCCATCCTCACCCATTCTACCATCCATTCACTCACCCTTCCATCCATCCATTCATCATCCAAACACCCACCCAACCATCAACACATCCATCATCCATCCTTCTACCACTCAAACATCCATCTATCCATCCATTCAAATCCAACCATTCCTCCATCCATCCAGCAACCCATCCATCCATCCATTATCCATCCACCCATCCATCCATCCATCCATGCACTATCCAACCATGTATGCATTCATCCACCCATCCATTGACCATCCTCCCACACAACCATCTACCCACCCATCATGCATCCAACAATCCACTCATCCAACCATCCATCCACACACCCATCCCTCACTCCCTCCATGGACATTAGACTATCACTAACTCTTTGCTATTGGTGAATCATGCTGTTGGTCTATACCTACGAGTAGTATTGCCTTCTGGGTAGAGGAGCGCCTGGGTGGCTCAGTTAGTTAAGTGTCCAACTTTGACTCAGTCATGATCTCAGGGTTCATGGGTTGGAGCCCCGTGTTGGTATCTGTGCTGACAGCTCAGAGCCTGGAGCCTGCTTCCAATTCTGTGTCTCCATCTCTCTGTGCCCCTCACAGCTCATGCTCCCTCTCTCCCTCTCAATAATAAATAAAAACATTTTTTAAAACAATGTAAAGAAGTGAATTCCAAGAGGAATTAGTTGTAGAAAAGGATCATAAACTTGGACATGTTAACACTGGACAGAAATTTTTAAAAGGAAGGGTAAATGGTGTTGAGAGCACCTGTTAACTAATGCAGTAGGTGTTACTGTTTTTTGCTTTTCAGTTGGGTAATACCTTCCTTGGGCCCTCGTCCCAATGTTGAGCGACCCCCGGCCTAAGAGGAGATAAATTTCTATCCAGCTCAGCACCAGAACGGGACTCTGGGACCACTTCTGGAAGTCCTTCCCTTAGCCCTGCTTCATTCAGCACTGCCTGGTCTTGCTTTTAAGTTTTCAGCACTTTGTGACTGCTAAGGAGTTTACCATAGTTGTCTATTAATGTTATCTTTCACTTAATTTAAAAAGAAATTCACGGGAAGCTCCTCTCCCAAGTCATTGAAACCCCACAGACACAGAGGATAAATGACATACAATACACAGCACACACAGGTGGGCTTTTTTGGGGGTACATCATTTGGAACCATGCAAACACACGAAAATGGAACTTATCCTCGACCTAATTAAAAATGCATAACAATAACGTTCAGTATCCACCAAGAAGACCCTATTTTGCAACCGTCATAGCAACAGAGAATGAAATGCATGATGCAGTTCATCTTTCCACCCCCCGTGCTTGAGAGTGAGAGGCGGTTTCCTGCAGAGGGAGAGCCGTTCCCCATTTCAAAGGCACCTGAGGAAACCCACAGGCAAGACAAAGCAGGCTCTGTCCAGGCAGTGTGCAGAGGATCTGAGGGAGCACACCACTTACCTCCAGTGTTGTAGGTCATTCCCGGCTGGGGTGGGTAGGGGGGCCTCTGGTTGGGTAAGATACCTGTGGGGAAAACGACAGTGCACGTTTAGCAGAGAAAAGTAGCCACTATCAGCAGCAGCCTGTGACACAGGAGCATCAACACGGCAGTAGATGCTCCAGGTGCCTCACACCCGCGGCCCATGTGTCCTAGATGGTCACAGACCAGTGGAACCTCCCTGAGCCTTTCAATGTAAAAATTTCAAAACTAGAACTTAAAGAAAAATCCCACATAGGCACATGCACACACACACACAGACACACACACACACACACACCCAATCACCCATCCATCCATCATTTACCCATTCATCCATCCACCCACCCATCCATACATACATCCATCATCCATACTACTACGGACCTACCCATCCATCCATCCATCCATCCATCCATCCATCCATCCTTCAATCATCCACCCATTTATCCATCCATCCACCCATTCATCCAACCATTCATACATCTATCCATCATCCATCCATCCACCCACCTACCCACCCATCCATCCATCCATTATCCAACCACCCATCCAACCATCCATCCATCCATCGTCCATCCTTCTACCCACCCACCCATCCATCTATCCCTCCATTCAATTACAACCATCCATCCATCCATCCATCCATCATCCATCCACCCACCCACCCATCCATCCATCCATCCACTCTCGAACCATGTATGCATCCATCCACCCATCCATTCACCCATCCTGCAACCCAACCATCTACCCACCCATCATCCATCCAATAATCCACTCATCCAACCATCCAACCATCCATCCACTCTCCCATCCCTCACTCCCTCCATGGATATTAGACTATCACTAACTCTTTGCTTTTGGTGAATCAATCTTCTGGTCTATACCTACGAGTGGTATTGCCTTCTGGGTGGAGGAGCGCCTGGGTGGCTCAGTTAGTTAAGTGTCCAATTTTGACTCAGGTCATGATCTCAGGGTTCGTGGGTTTGTGCCCCGTGTTGGCCTCTGTGCTGACAGCTCAGAGCCTGGAGCCTGCTTCCAATTCTGTGTTTCCATCTCTCTGTGCCCCTCACAGCTCATGCTCCCTCTCTCCCTCTCAATAATAAATAAAAACATTTTTTAAAACAATGTAAAGAAGTGAATTCCAAGAGGAATTAGTTGTAGAAAAGGATCACAAACTTGGACATGTCAATACTGGACAGAAATTTTTACAAGGAAGGGTAAATGGTGTTGAGAACACGTGTTAACTAATATGGTAAGTGTTACTGTTTTTTGCTTTTCAATTAATACCTTCCATGGGCCCTCGTCCCAATGTTGAGCGACCCCCAGCCTGGGAGGAGATAAATTTCTATCTAGCTCAGCACCAGAACGGACCCTGGGACCACTTCTGGAAGCCCTTCCCTTAGCCCTGCTTCATTCAACACTGCCTGGTCTTGCTTTTATGTTTACACCACTTTGTGATTGCTAAGGAGTTTACCAACGTTCTCCATCAATGTGTCCTTTCACTTAAATTTTCAAATGAAATCTACAGGAAGCTAGTCTCCCAAGCAATTGAAACCCCACAGACACGGAGGATACATGACATACAATACACAGCACACACAGGTGGGCTTTTTTGGGGGTACATCATTTGGAACCGTGCAAACACACGAAAAAGGAACTTATCCTCGACCTAATTAAAAATGCATCACAATAACGTTCAGTATCCACCAAGAAAACCCTATTTTGCAGCAGTCAGAGCAACAGGGAATGAAATGCGTGATGTGGGGTCAACCTTCCATCCCCCATGCTTGGGAGTGCGAGGCGGTTTCCTGCAGAGTTAGAGCCGTTCCCCATTTCAAAGGCAGCTGAGGAAACCCCCAGGCAAGACAAAGCAGGCTCTGTCCAGGCAGCGTGCAGAGGACCCTGAGGGAGCACACCACTTACCTCCAGTGTTGTAGGTCATTCCTGGCTGGGGTGGGTAGGGGGGCCTCTGGTTGGGTAAGAGACCTGTGGGGAAAATGACAGTGCACGTTTAGCAGAGAAAAGTAGCCACTGTCAGCAGCAGCCTGTGACACAGGAGCATCAACACGGCAGTAGATGCTCCAGGTCCCTCACACCTGCTGCCCATGTGTCCTAGATGGTCACAGACCGGTGGACCCTACCTGAGCCTCTCGATGTAAAAATTTCTAAACTAGCACTTAAAGAAAACCCCATCATAGGTGCATGCACACAAATATACAGACAGACAGGCACACACACACACACACACACACACAACCGTCCATCCATCCATCTTTCACCCATTCATCCGTCCATCCATCCATCCGTCCATCATCTATCCACCCACCCAATATTCCACCCATCCATCATCCATCCTTCTACGCACCCACCCATCCATCCATCCTCCACCCATTCATTCATCCATTTACCCATCCTAACATCCACCCAACCAGTATCCAACCAATTATGCACCCTCCCATATTCCATCCAACACGCACTCATCCAACAATCCACAAATCCATCCACCCACCCATTCCTCACTCCTTCCATGAACATTAGCCTATCGCTAACTTTTTGCTATTGTTGAATCATGCTGGTGGTCTATACCTAGGAGTGGTATTGCCTTTTGGATGGAGGGGCACCTGGCTGGCTCAGTCAGTTAAGTGTCCACGTTTGGCTCAGGTCATGATCATCTCAGGGTTTGTGGGTTCGAGCCCCGTATTGGTCTCTGTGCAGACAGCTCAGAGCCTGGAGCCTGCTTCCAATTCTGTGTCTCCATCTATCTGTGCCCCTCACCAGCTCATGCTCCCACTCTCTGCCTCTCAAAAATAAATAAAAGCATTTTTTAAAACATTGTACAGAAGTGAATTCCAAGAGGAATTAGTTTTAGAAAAGGATCATAAACTTGGACATGTTAATATTGGATAGAAATTTTTAAAAGGAAGGGTAATGGTGTTGTGAGCACCTGTTAACTGAGGCTGCAGGTGTCACTGTTTTTTGCTTTTCAATTGGGTGATACCTTCCTTGGGCCCTCGTCCCAATGTTGAGCGACCGCCAGCCTGGTACGAGATAAATTTCTAACCAGCTCAGCATCAGAATGGGACTCTGAGATCGCTTCTAGAAGCCCTTCACTTAGGCCTGCTTCATTCAGCACTGCCTGGTCTTGCTTTTGGGTTTTCAGCACTTTGTGATTGTTAATGAGTTTATCAACATTGTCCATCAATGTTTCCTTTCACTTAAAAATATTTTTAAAGAAATCTACAGGAAGCTCATCTGCCTAACTTTTGAAACAACACAGACACGGAAGATACATGACAAACAATATACAGCACCCACAGGTGGGCTTTCTCAGGGATGAATCATTTGGAACCGTGCAAACATGTGTAAGAGGAACTTGTCCTCAGCCTAATTAAAAATGCATCACAATAACGTACAGTATCCACTAAGAAGATACAATTTGGCAGCAGTCAGACCAAAAGGGAATGAAATGCTTGATGCAGGTTAAACCTTCCACCCCCCCTTCTAGGGAGTGCGAGGGGGTTTTCTGAAGAGGGAGAGCCGTTCCCCATTTCAAAGGCAGCTGAGGAAATCCGCAGACAAGACAAAGCAGGTTCTGTCCAAGCAGCGTGTAGAGGACCCTGAGGGAGCACACTACTTACCTCCACTGTTGTTGGGCCTGCCCGGCTGGGGGTAGGGGGGCATCGGCTTGGGGTCGGTACCTGCGGGGAAAACGACAGTGCACGATTAGCAGAGAAAAGTAGCCACTGTCAGCAGCAGCCTGTGAAACAGGAGCATCAACATGACAATAGATGCCCCAGGTCCCTCACACCTGATGCCCATGTGTCATAGATGGTTGCAGACCCGTAGACCCTCCCTGAGCCTCTCGATGTAAAAATCTCAAGACTAGAACCTAAGAAAAACCCCACATAGGTGCATGCACACACAACACACACACACACACACACACTCTTCCACCCATCTATCCAATCATCCATCCATCCATCCATCTATCTATCCATCCATTGTCCAACCATCCATCCGTCCATCCAACCATCCATGCATCTACACATCCATCCATCCGTCCATCCATCCATCCATCCATCCATTCAATAATCCACCTGTTCTCCATACAAACATCTATCCACCCACCCGTCCCTTCCTCTTTCCTTGGACACTAGCATATCGCCAACCTTTTGCTATTGTGATTCATGCTGCTCATCTATACCTAGGAGTGGTATTAGCTTCCGGGTGGAGGAGTGCCTGGGTGGTTAAGCATCCAACTTCAGCTCAGGTCATGATCGTCACAGGGTTTGTGGGTTCAAGCCCCGTGTTGGTCTCTGTGCAGACAGCTCAGAGCTTGGAGCCTGCTTCCAATTCTGTGTCTCCCTCTCTTTCTTCCCTTCCCCAGCTCATGCTCTATCCAATAAAATTGATAAAAACATTCTACTGCTTCAGAACCTTGGTCTCCCTCTCTCTGCACCTCTCATCTGCTTACATTCTGTCTCTCTCTCAAAAATAAATATTAAAAATGTAAGTTAAAAATAAAACGTTTTAAAAAATTTAAAAGTAGGGGCGCCAGGGTGGCTTAGTCGGTTAAGCGTCCGACTTTCGCTTAGGTCATGATCTCGCGGTTCGTGGGTTCGAGCCCCGTATTGGGCTCTGTGCTGACTGCCAGCTCAGAGCCTGGAGCCTGTTTCAGTCTGTGACTCCCTCTCTCTCTGACCCTCCCCTGCTCATACTATCTCTCTCTCTCTCCTAAAAATAATAACACATTAAAAAAATTTTTAAAGTAAATTCCAGGAGAAATAACTTGGAGGAAAGGGTCTTGCACTTTGAGTGTTAATACTGGACAGAAATTTTTAAAAGACAAGAAAATGGTGAAGTGAGCACTCGTTAACTGAGGCCACTGGTATTACTGTTGCTTTTCAATTAGGTAACGCCTTCCTTGGACCCTCGTCTAGACACTGAGTGACCCCTCCTGGGAGGAGATAAATTTCTATCCAGCTCAGCACCAGAACGGGATTCTGGGACTGCTTCTAGAAGCCCTTCACTTAGCCCTGCTTCATTCAGCCCTGCCTGGTCTGCTTTTAGGTTTTCAGCACTTTGTGATTGCTAAGGAGTTTACCAATGTTGTCTGTCAGTGTTTCCTTTCACTTAAATGTTTTTAAATAAATTTACAGGAAGCTCG